GCTGGCATATTGAGTGCAGCACTTTCACAGCATCATCTTTTAGGATTTGAAATAGCTGAACTGGAATTCCATCACCTCCACTAGCATTGTTTGTAGTGATGCTTCCTAAGTCCCGCTTGACTTCACATTCTAGGATGTCTGGTTCTAGGTAGTGATCATACCATCGTGTTTATCTGGGCCATGAAGATCTTTTTTGTACAGTTCTTCTATGTATTTTTGCCACCTCTTCTTAATATCTTTTGCTTCTGTTAGGTCCATACCATTCCTGTCCTTTATTGAGCCCATCTTTCCATGAAATGTTCCCTTGGTATCTCTAACTTCCTTGAAGAGATCTCTAGTCTTTCCCATTCTGCTGTTTTCCTCTGTTTCTTTGCATTGATCGCTGAGGAAGGCTTTCTTATCTCTCCTTGCTATTCTTTGAAAGTTTGCATTCAATTGGGAATATCTTTCCTTTTCTCCTTTGCTTTTCACTTCTCTTCTTTTCACAGCTATTTGTAAGGCCTCCTCAGACAGCCATTTTGCTTTTTTGCATTTCTTTTTCTTGGGGATGGTCTTATTCCCTGTCTCCTATACAATGTCACGAACCTCCGTCCATAGTTCTTCAGGCACTCTGTCTATCAGATCTAGTCCCTTAAATCTATTTCTCACTTCTACTGTATAATCATAAGGGATTTGATTTAGGTCATACCTGAATGGTCTAGTGGTTTTCCCTACTTTCTTCAATTAAGTCCGAATTTGCCAATAAGATGTATTATTAAGTTAAAAAAATGGAGGCCAAAAATAGTACATAGCTTATGTTCTCATTTACATTGACAGTTCTTAAATAAGATTAAATGTGGAAGGATTGGCCCAAAATGATAACAATAGTTATTATCTTTGTATGGTGGAATTATGATAGAATTTCCACTTTCCCTTCTAATATTTTATAATGATCATGCAGGTATACCTCATTTTAAAAGGGAAACAAAACCAGTCAGTACTTTAAAGGCTTGTGCTCTGTATGCATTGTGGCTCTGTAATAAGGGATACTATTTCAGTTCAGTTCTGTCACTCAGTCATATCCAACTCTTTGCAACCCCATGGACTAGAGCACGCCAGGCTTCCCTGTTCATCACCAACTCCTGGAGCTTGCTCAAACTCATGTCCATTGAGTTGGTGATGCCATCCAACCATCTCATCCTGTTTCTTCCCCTTCTCCTCCTGCCTTCAATCTCTCCCAGCATCAGGGTCTTTTCAAATGAGTCAGTTCTTCACATCAGGTGGCCAACGTATAGGAGTTTTAGCTTCAGCATTAGTCCTGCCAATGAATATTCAGGACTGATTTCCTTTAGAATGGACTGGTTGGATCTCCTTGCAGTCCAAGGGACTCTTAAGAGTCTTCTCCAACATCACAGTTCAAAAGCATCAATTTTTCATCACTCAGCCTTCTTTATGGTCCAACTCTCACATCCATACATGACTACTGGAAAAGCCATTGCTTTGACTAGACGGACCTTTGTTGTCAAAGTAATGTCTCTGAATTTTAATATGCTTTCTGGGTTGGTCATAGCTTTTCTTCCAAGGAGCAAGCATCTTTTTATTTCATGGCTGCAGTCACCATCTGCAGTGATTTTGGAGCCCAAGAAAATAAAGTCTGGATTCCATTTCCTCTACATGAAAGAAGCTGTAAAGTGAGGGTCAGGTAGACTCCTGGACTCAGATCTGTTAATGCCCTGCCTCTTCCTAAATCTAGGAAAGATCAGTGTGAACAAGTCTCTTGGAGCCCCATGTCAACTCTCATCTTATGGTCATATTTTAGAGATCATTTCTCTTTGATTTAGAGAAATTATTTTCCTTTGTAAGAAATTTAAGGATACAGTTAAGATATGGGGTTAAATTAAAAAAAAATTTTTTTCCACTGAAAGATCAATCTCACCTGCAATATAAACTGTCCTCTAAAATTAAGATCTAAAGGAGATCAGTCCTAGGTGTTCATTGGAAGGACTGATGCTGAAACTGAAACGCCAATACTTTGGCCACCTCATGCAAAGCGTTGACTCATTGGAAAAGACCCTGATGCTGGGAGGGATTGGGGGCAGGAGGAGAAGGGGACGACAGAGGATGAGATGGCTGGATGGCATCATCGACTCAATGAACATGAGTTTGAGTAAACTCTGGGAGTTGGTGATGGACAGGGAGGCCTGGCGTGCTGCAATTCATGGGGTTGCAAAGAGTCGGACACGACTGAGTGAATGAACTGAGCTGAACTGAAAGTTAAGAAACTAGTAGTATTTTTGTTTCTTAACTATAAGCTAATTATTTAGCATTGGTTAAATTACATTCCCTCAGTCCATTGCAGGGTGCTGTTGCAATAATCTTGACTGGTTTTGTTAATAAGAAGTTGTGGGTGATCTAGGGTAATAGAGCATCACTTAGGATAATAAAATCTGAATTGTTTTTACAGGTCGAGAGATCCGTCTGCCCCTCCGAATCAAAGGGGAAGGAATAGGACCAAAGATTCATTTCAACTTTGAGTTGCTGGATATTGGAAAAGTTTTTGTTGGATCTGTACATTGTTATGAGGTAAACATTAGGATTGTTCATTGAGAATCAAAAGTATGTGCTGTTTTTGTTTGATTTTTTGTGTTTTTATTGATAGGAAATTTTTGCTATCATATTTTTTTTTTACCGTTACTCACACCTATTTGGACCCCAAATGATCAAACTCCTCTTCCTCCCTCCCAGTTTTACTGAAGGAAGCAATTTTTTCCATCCCTTTTAGCCCTTCTGACTTTACAAAAGGCATCAAATTCATAATTTTATTGATTTTATCAGCATCATTTTATGAATTGCAAAGGGGGAACACCATAAATATTAATACATCTCCCTATCTGTTTAATGTTTGTTCTCTAACAACATAAATCCTACAGATGAGAGAATGGAGGACCTGTTACATTTTCCAGAATGTCCTAATGAGGATAGCTGTTTTCACACTTCAGAGTTTTCTCTAATTTAAAATTTTAATTTAATTTTCTCTGATTTAAAAACCAATCATCCTGATTCCTGGAAGCTATCTCCTTGTTTTGTCTTTCCAATTAAATAGAAAATGATTTTTTTACATGGTGTTCCCATGGGTTCATGAGGATCAAAATTACTTCAGTGTCACTTCATCATTAAATTCGTGTCTAGGACATTTGTTTACACTACATAAAACTATAACCTAGAAAGGTTATTGTGGAAAGATTCCTAAATTGTGTTTGTATTTCTATAAATGTAAAAACAAAAGCATTCATTTAGTGAGAGACAGTCATCAGGTTCCACGCTCTATTATGTGTGCATGCCTACATGTGCATGTGTCATTTCTAATTTTTATGTACCTGTTTTATACATGAGAAATATGAGGTGCATAGCAGTTAATTCAACATTCTCACCCTTCAGGTGTGTGGACCTCACATGTATTAGTTCTTTTGGTCCTCACAAAAGCCATATGAAGTAGGTACAATGACTGTCCCCATTTTATAGCTGAGGAAGCTAGAGGAGGTAATGCTACATACCATAACAAACAAATACAGTAATGTATCTGTTTTGTTCCTAACATAAAGTCCCAGACAAGCTTGCTCATCAGTAGAGGGCTCTCCTCCTGCGGAGGATCAGGAACTCTCCTTCTATCTCATGGCTCTGCCACCCCTTACCCCTCACATGTGACTTGCAAGATTGCAGTGTCACGTGTATCACACTGACAGTAGAAGAAAGAGCATGGAGGGATGCACACAAGAGGTTTTTATAGGAGGCAGCACCAGCAGTGGCACGTATCTCTTTTGTTCACATTCTGTGACTGCGAGGGTGACTGGGAAATGTAGTCTAGCTATAGGCACAGGAAGAAGAGGATATAAGTCCAGTGAACAGCCAGCTTCATTCTGCCACATTTGTTAAGTAACTTGGCAAGGTCACATAGCTTGGAAATGTTAGTGAGCAGTGAGTGGCTAGGGCCCGACATCGTAGGGGATGAGAAGGCCCTTTGCTGGCTTGTCAGTCGCTTGGCATCCCATTATGGGCAAATCCGGTCTACAGGCAACTCACCTTTCAGCCCAGCCTAACCTGGTATGGAAGGTAAGTGCCCAGCTGATGTTGAGAGCTTCCTGCTGTGTCATTTGTCATCACGTTCATCAGAGTTAACAATATCTCAAATGGGATGATTTGAAAGGTAAATACAGATGTTAATGTCATGTTGACGTGGAATATACCTAAGAGCACACTTTAAATGAAGTAATCAGTTGCATGACTATCAGAAAATGAAAAGTGCACACCCACCATGTTGCATTGTGCCGTGTTGCATTCTGAAAAAAATAGTCATTTAGAGGGAAACAGGTATGAATTCTTATTGAATTGATATTCTGCCTGTAATTTATCCAGAATAAATTTCACTTATACCTTAAAGACTGTGTCTTATAGGTGCTGCAGCAGAAAAGAGCATTTAGTTCTGATGCAAAATGGATAGGGTTTGCCTGAATATAATAATACTTTCTTACAAATTTTAAGAGAAGTGTACTTGAGCCCTTCACTTCCCACCCTCCCACATTTGAGCAGTAACAAACCACAGCCAGCTAAATAAGTGTTAAATGGAGTGCAGCATTAGACTGGACAGTTTTGAGAGCTGTGCAGTGCCAGAGAAGGACATGGTAAGGTGCTTCTTATAGGAATATTTTGCACACATTGCGTATTTAATGCTGATGCCTCATTGCATCTCTGTTTCAATTTATTACATTACCTGCTTGAGATGAATTTGAATAACTAGCTATTGCTCTTAGTCATTGCTGAGCTTAGCAGATACATAAAGAATAATCCCCAAGAGTATACACCATTCCCCAGTGTAATTAGAAGAAAAACAAATGAGAGGTGAAGTTCTTCTATAAATTTACCCCTCTCCAAGGAGTTGGACTACAGGGTAAGGGCATTACTAGTAATCAGAAGATGTCAGAATTGTGCTGCCAGACAATTTCCTGGATTCCGTATACATAGGTAGTTTCTGGTTTGTCAGGGGGGAGAAGAATGAAACGCATATTCTTGAAAATAGAGTTGGCCCCTTATAGAAAATCTGAGTAAGACAACAGTAAAGGCAGTCCTTGTACCAGCTCAGAGAGGAGAGCAAAGGTCCTTCAAGTTACCACCAATACCTTTGAGTTGCCTTCACGTTACCACTAACTGGTACAGATCAGTTGCATCTTAAGCACAGATAAATCTTAAACTCATTTGGCTTAACACTGGGTATATAAATATCAATCATTGTCCTTTATGAACACTCATTGCCACTCACTAGTCTAAAAGTAACGTAAATTAATAAATTTCATTTTCATGGCAATCTGAGAAGTTAGTAGTACTTATATTTTACAGGTAGGGAAATAGGCACAGAGAAGCTAAGCAGGTTCTGCAAGGTCACACAGCTTGTAAAGTCAGTGGAAAAGCTGGGATTTGAACCCAGGCATTTGACTTCTCAGACCATGGTCATAATCACTTTTCTACATGGTCCTTTTAAAAGGAGTAAAGAACAAAATGTGGCTCCTATGACCAAGGAACTTAGAACGAGGGAGATGGGAAATAAATGTAAAAAGATGAGGAACATCAAGTAACAGGTATCTTGTGGTGAATCATTCATCTTCTCTTGGCAGGAGCAGTTTCTTCCTTTGCAAGAGCCCCTGTCTCTATTCTACTTGTGCTCTTGATTCCTTCTTCTCTGCTCCTTAGGAGGCAACCTAATCTAGTGGACCCCCTACACCCATCCAAATCCTATTACCTTAGTTACCTAGTCCCCTTTTCTTATTACAACATCAAACATCTAATCTGGGCCTTGAGTGCATTATCTCATTTAATAGTACAAATAGACTAGATCTCCTCTACCATACCTTCCTACAGCTTTGCCACCCCCATTTTCTCTTTTTACCACTAATATTGTCAAAACAGCAGTCTGGAACAGTCAACCACTATTTCCTCTGCACCTGTGCACTCCCTAAACATTTGTACTCTGGATTCCTCAGTCACGCTCTATTGGAATTACTTTCTTCTTTGAGGGCAGGGATGGCCCAATTAAAAATAAAATATCTGTAGCATTTTCTCAAAGCTTATTCTCCTTGACCTCTGTCCACATTCAACGTCTTTTGGAAATTCTCTCTTGGCTTTCTCAGTTCCTGACATGCCTCACATACCTTTTTGAATCTTTCTTCATTATCTCCTCTTTTTCTTCCTCCAGTGATAGGTTGAGTGTAGGTTGAGGGCACTTACTACACAGAGAGAATGGCTGTTCACTTGTTCGGGTGTAAACATTGGCCAGGAATGGAGATTGTGTTCTAGAAGTCCAGGGATAGAACTGTGTGGCAATACTACAGGTTCATGGCAGCAACTGTGGCAAATGGCAGCAGGAGCAGTAGGCAGAGCCAGCGCAGAGGCCTCTAAGTGCCAAGCATGAGCTTTTTACACACACCTAGTGTGCAAATATGGGCAAATTGGTTCCAGAAACTGATATGTAGGAATAAAACTTCTCTGTAGTAAAACAGTAGCTTGCATAAGCATCCCCAAACAGTTATCCCTCCATTAGAGTGTGAGCTGAAAGTATCACAATAGGATGAAATCTAATGGTGCAACAAAGAGAATCTTTGCAATCTGGAATCCACAATTATATCTTATCTACATTCTTCAAGCTACATTATAAAGGTAGGCTTAGATAGTTCTTGCTCCTGTATTCTGACTTGATTTTTACTTTTCAGCATGTCACTTAATCCCAGCCTTCTCATGTATATAAGAGAAAGACCTACCTTCCCTTGATAGTTTTATGGATAGAATAAAAGGTACTTTAAGGTTCTTCAGTAGATGTGATTATGATCAGTCTTTATAGCATAAGTATAATACATATGACTAACTCTATTTTAAAGAGGAAATAAAAACACAAAATTATTTTCTGGCTTGGGACTCCTGTCTTTAAACAGAACACTGTTCATTTTTCCCCTGAGGTTTTTCTTTGGAGCTGTCTTCCTGCAACTGTCTCTGTGTTGGTGCTTATATGAAAATAAATCACAGTCCCGTTGCTTACTTTTTTCATTCTTGTCTTTTTGATACAGGCAGTGCTGTCCAACAAAGGCAGCATTGATGCCCTCTTCAATGTGATCCCTCCAGTTTCTCCTCTGGGGGCCTGCTTTGTTTTCAGTCCCAAGGAAGGCATCATCGAACCAAGCGGAGTCCAGGCTGTCCAGATCTCCTTTAGTTCTGCCATCCTAGGGCGCTTTGAAGAAGAGTTCCTGGTCGATGTGAATGGGTCATCTGAGCCTGTGAAACTGACCATTAGGTAAGTTGCTTCTACAAGTAATATGGAAACTGAAGTTTTTACCTATGCTTTCGTAAACTTCAAAACTAGATCACTTTATACATTAATGGAGAGTTACTAGGTTGACAGAATGTTTATTTTCTGTTAATAGCACTATTGATACCTATCTGAAAATAACAATTTGACTCCCTACTGATTACTTTTTAAAATCCAGGCACAAACATAAAATGTAAAAATAAAATCCTTTCATAAAATTATTTTAGAAACCAGAACTAGCTCATGTCTTGAATATCGATATCTGTCTTTGTTGATATGAATACGTCAATATATAAGGATGTTTTAAATTTCTACCAGTGTTTCTCTAGTAGACATGTATAACTTCTTGTAACATGGATGCAGTTGCTCTTTGGGGATCTAGTTTTTCTTTAAATTATAACCTTATAAAATAAAGACTTAAATTAGTTTCTACTTTATCTCTCTGTTTTACTATGTTTAGGGAAAGTAAGTTACTAACACCTGGATAAAATCATCTTCTATGACTAAGCTTTGGTTGTTACCCTATTAATAGTTTCTCTAAACTTTCACCTTTTGTTTTTTTTCCATCTTTTGATTTTATTTTAAGGAAATTATTTAAATGGTCTTACGTCTAATGCCACCAGGAATTATAAAACTCTACTTGTGGTGTCAGTCAGCCAGCGCTAGACACTTGAAACTTTTGTGGTAGACATCTTTTGATGCCTTCTCCGGCTGCTGTTTGTCTTCAGGTTTTAAAAAGAAGTTCTCTGTAACCAGCCCGTGGGCAGACCTATAACTTTGGTTCCTGTTGCTTTAGAAGTTCATGTCTTCAGAATAGATTGCAGATTCTATTTGGATTCCCACAGCAACAGGTTGTTAATTAGGATAGTCTCTCTTATTTTGGTTCAGAAGCCTAGCAGGACCTCACTCCATCTACAGCTGAAGTCTCTCCCTTGAAGTCTAGAGATGACATAGAAAAGAGACAGGTACATTTCTGAGCCTTGAATGATCCTAGGAAAACTTATTGATTTTAAGATATCTACTGAAAATGTAGAATCTTAAGATTGACTTGAAGGTGATTACCATTTCTTCTCAATTCTTTCACCTAACTATCTCTGCTATAGGGTGAATTACATCCTCTCAAAATTCCTATGTTGAAGTCCTAACACCCAGTACTTTACAATGTGACTGCACTTGGAGATGAGACTTTTAAAGAAGTAATTAAGGAAAAATGAGGTCATATGAGTGGGCCTTAATCTAATATGAATGATGTCCCTGTCAGAAGAGGACATTAGGACAGATACACAAATAGGAAAAGACCGTGAAAAGACACAGGGAGAAGGTACCCATTTGCGAGCGAAAGAGAGAGTTCCTCGTAAGAAACCAGCCCTGCCAACATGTTGATCTTAGACTTCCAGCCTACAGAACTATGAGGAAATAAATATGGACACAGTTAACAACAGACCCCAAAGATACATGAAGCAGAAGCTTACATAATGGAAGAGAGAAATAGGTAATTGAACAGTAATAAATGGAGATGTCACTACCCCACTTTCAATAATGGATAGAACAGCTCGCCAGAATATCTTAATAGAAGAGTTGAATAATACCGTAAACCAACTCGACCTAACAAACACCTGTAGAACTCGCCACCCAACAAGTGCACTTGGAGCATTTCCCAGAATAGACCATACGAGAGTCCATAATGCAAATCTCAATAAATTTTAAATAATTTGAATCATGCAGAGTGTGTTCTTCAACTAGAAAGAAATAAAATGAAAAATCAAAAGTAGAAGAAAATGTAGAGAATTTACAAATATGTGGAAATTGAAAAACACACCTAAATTACCAATAGGGCAAAGAAAAATATTACAAAATACTTTGAGATAAATGAAAGCAGAACAAAGAGTACCAAAACTTATGAGATGTGGTAAAAGTAGTGCTTTGAGGGAAATTGATAGCTGTATTGAGTGCCTGTATTTAAAAAGAAAAAAGATCTCAAATCAATAACCTAAATTTCTACCTTATGAAACTTGAAAAAGAAGAGCTAACTAAATCCAAAGCAAGCACAAGGAAGGAAATAATAAAGATTAGAGTGGAAATTAATGAAATAAAAAAGAAAAACAATAGAGAAAAAATAAAACTGAAAGTTGTTTTTATTTAACATTGTATTGAAAGTTCTATCCAAGGCAATTAGGCAAGAAAAAGAAATAAAAGACTTTCAGATTGAAAAGGAAGAAGTAAAGCTATCTCTCTTTGCAGATGACATGATTTTATATGTAGAATATTCCAAGGATTCCACCAAAAAGCTATAGAGCTAGCAATTGAGTTCAGAAAAATTATACAATATAGGCTCATATACAAAAATCAATTGTATTACTGGAGAGTAGCAATGAAAATTCAAAAATGAAATTAAGAAAATTCCTCTTACAATAGTTAAAAGAATGATATAGTTGGGAATAAATGTAACAAAAAAAAAGTGTTAGACTTGCACATTGAAAACTACAAAACCTCATCAAAAATGAATTTAAAAGAAGACCTAAATAAGTGACATGGATTAGAAGACTTAGTATTAACCTAAGATGGCAAGATTTCACAAAGTGATGTATAGATTCAACATGATTCTATCAAAATTCCAGCTGTCCTTTTGCAGTAATTGATGAGCTGATACTAAAGTTTATATGGAAAAACAAGAAATCCAGAATAGCCAAAATAATTTTTTTAAAAAACCCTAAATTTGGAGAACTTATATATCCCATTTCAAAACATACTACAGTTTTGATGCAGTAATCAAGCATCTATTATTCTGGTATTAAGATAGACATATAGATCAATGGCACAGAATTGAGATTCCAAAAATAAATTCATATGGTTATGGTCAGTTTATTTTTATCAAGACTATCAAGAAAATTCAATGGGAGAAAGGATAGTGTTTTTCAACAAATGATGCTAGAGCAACTGGAAATCTACATTCAAAAGAATAAAGTTCCATGCAACCCCCCTCCATCTCACACCATATACAGAATTAATATGGACTTCCCTTGTGGCTCAGACGGTAAAGAATCTGCCTGCAATGCAGGAGACTTGGGTTCGATCCCTAGGTCCAGAAGATGCCCTGGAGAAGGGAATGACAACCCACTCCAGTATTCTTACTCAGATAATCCCATGGACAAAGGAGCCTGGCGGGGTACAGTCCATGGGGGTCACAAAAGAGTCGGGCATGACTTAGTGGCTAACACACACATAGACCAAAGACCTAAATGTAACAACTAAAACTATAAAACTTTTAAAATAAAGCATAGGTGCAACTATACATGACTTTGGATTAGGCAAAGATTTCTTAAATATGACACGTAAGTATAAGCAATCAAAGGAAAAGTAAGTAAATTAGACTTCATCAGAATTTTTAAATTTTGTGCTTCAAAGGACACTATTAAGAAAATGAAAAAAGCAAACTACAAAATGGGAAAAAATATTTGTAAATCATATATCTGAAAAGGGGTGTCTATCTAAGATATATACAGAACACTAACACTCAATAACAAAAAGACAACCCAGTTAAAAATGGGCAAACCGTCCGAGCAGACTTTTCTCTAAAAAAGATATGCAAATAACTAATAACATGTGAATAGACTCTCAACATCATTAGTCATCAAGGAGATGCAAATAGAAACCACATTGAGATACAACTTCATACCTGTGTGGATGGCTATAACTTAAAAATAGAAAATAGCAAGTATTGTAGAGAATGTAGAGAAATAAGAAGCCTCATACACTGATGGTGGGAATGTAAAATTTGCAGTCACTTTGGAACAGTCTGACAGATTTTCGAAGAAGTAGACTTTGAATTACCTTATAATCTAGCAATCCATTCCTAGATACCTACCCAAGAAAAATGAAAATTTAAATCCATGCAAAAACTTGCACATGAATGTTTGACACTGCATTATTCTTAGTAGCCAAAAGGTGGAAATAATCCAAGTGTCTCCCAGCTGATGAATGGATAAATAAAACATGGTCTATTCACACAATGGAATGTTATTAAGACCATAAAAAGGAATGAGAAAAGAAAGAAGGATGTACATGCTGCAACATGGTACCTGTTAAGTGGGTGAATTTATAGCATATGAATTATATTTGAATGAGGCTGTTATTTTTTTAAAATTTCCAAGAGCCTGTAATATTGAATAATAGTTCTGTCATTTCATGGGTGAATTTTTTAAATCTCTCCTCTCTTCCCCTAAAGATCCCAAGCATGCACTATATAGTGTTGCATGCAATGTCTAAATAGATCAGAATGTACTTGGGTTCTCCACTAATAACAGAGTTTAGAAATCTTCTAGGAACCTTTTCACAAGTAAGTTTGGACTAGTTAATACTCCAGGTATTCTGTGAAGTTTAGGTCTCTTAAGTCTCTGGACCTTACCATTCATACCAGCTCCCATGCCTTTTTTTTTTTTTTTTTTTGCATGTTCACTCCTTGTTTCTTGCAAAGGAAAGGAAAATCTGACTGTGGAAAGAATGTTTATTTCATCCTAAAACTAATTACAAATTGCAAAGAGAAATATTCTTGTCTAAATTGCATTTGTCCAAATTGTTCTAGCATGTCATTACCACAAACAGTAATTTTGAAAACTTGGTAAATATGTGGTGTCACAAATAAATGTCTACTGATGAAGGTTGAAATACATGTACAATTTATTATTTATTTTCAGTTCCACACAGTAATACTCATTTTACTTATGACTTTGCCAGGGACAGTCTCTTGGGCCTTATAGCCCAGGAAGTCTCTATAAAAGTTTATATTGTGGATTCTGAAATTTTATTTCTTATTCTTTTACTGTCAGGTAATCTTCTTTCCTCAATACCACATAATTTTTGCTAGTATACCTTGAAAGTTATCAGAACTATTGCTGAATTTTTTTTGTTTATTTCTCCAGTTACATGACACAGTACTTAAAGTGGTTGGATAAACAACACTGTAGAATTGATTTTTTAAAATTACCTATAAGAAATTTTATACTCTCCTATTTTTACATATGTGACTTTATGAAGTTTAACTGTAGCATATTTTTCATTCAGTCTGTTTTACATAACAACATAATAATTCAATCACTCTATCTCTTGGTCTTTAAAATTCTAATCTTAACAGACCACTGCATTGGTGTTGGGTACCATCTTGGCAGAGACTGTCCTAATATTCAGAATCCCTGTTTGAATGGATGTGACAGTGTCTAAGCCCAGTTGGTATTCAGCTGCCATTCCCTTAGTTATATGTGCCTTTGAACAAATGAGATTTAACTCTGGTTTTTTTCTGCTTCACTGATTAAACGACTGCTTTGTGCAATTTTGTGATCTTCTTTCCTATTTCTTTATGCTTTTGTGCACTGCAGACTCTTTTGATCTATTTGTTACTTTGGCCTCCCAAAAACTTTTTTTGCAAATCAAGTATCTAATCTGTAGGCTCCTTTGACTTCATTCTCAGCTGGATCCTAATTCCTCCTGAGTACCAGCTGCTCCTTTTGAAACCACTTTGGATTATTAGCATAAAATAGAAAAGATGGTCCTGGGAAAGGCTTTTAGAATCCAGACTTCCTGCACTGAGTCTTTGTTGTCATCTCTCCTCCCAGGCTTGCAGGAGCCCCTCAACATATTATAGTCAGATCTCTAGCAGCCGGAAGTATCACTGGGGCGCCAAGTTCATTCAGCATGGTATGGTACACCTACATCACCAACATCTGGATCTGGGTGGATTAGAAGACTCAGGCTTAGTGGGACTTCTGGGGTTTGTGTGTCTATAACTTTAGAAAGCCTGGCACACAAATGGGGAATTATTTCAGTTCTTACCTTTGGTCTAGAGATTTTAGGGAAATAGACCATAGAAAAAGGCAAGAATAAACAAATATCTGATATATTAGTTTTCTATTGCTGCTGTAACAAATTACCACAAACTCAGTAGCTTAAAGCAATACACATGTATTATTTTAAGTCCAACACAGGTCTTACAGAGCTAAAATCAAAGTATTGGCCAGGGCTGTCTTTGTTTATGGTAGCTCTTGGAGAGCATTTATTTCCTAACCTTGTTTGGCTTCTTGATGCTGCCCACAGTCTTTAGCTCATGATCTCCCTCCTCCATCTTCAAACCTAGCAAAAGCTGGTTGAATGTTTCTCACATTGCCTCACTCCTACCTTGTCTTCTGCCTCCATGTTCTGATTTTAAAAATCCTAGTGATTGCATTGAACCCAACTAGATAAGTCAGGCTAATGTCCGTATCTTGTGTGCATGCCTGCTAAGTCACTTAGGTCATGTCCAACTCTCTGCAACCCTATGGATTGTAGCCCTCCAGGCTCCTCAGTCCATGGGGTTCTCCAGGCAAGAATACTGGAGTGGATTGCCATGCCCTCCTCCAGGGGATCTTCCCAACCTAGGGATTGGACCCGCATCGCTTACATCTCTTATATCTCTTACATTGGTAGGTGGGTTCTTTACCAGTAGCATCACCTGGTAAGCCCAATTTCCTTATTTTAAGTTCAGTTAATTAGCAACTTCAATTCCTTCTGCTACCTTCATTAGTCTTTGCCATGTAACCTAATATATTCATAGATTCTGGGGGTTGTTAGCACATGGACATCTTTGGGGACCAATATACGATCTACCACACCTGAAGTCAGCTAGAAGCTATGGAATCTCTATTATTTAATTTAAGCTAGAGCATCACTCCAAGATCACGAGCCTTGCATGAGAGGGAAACAGAAAATCAATAGTTAAAGAATCCTTAAAGGCCACCTATTCCCGTCTTCTCTTGTGTATGTTAGGAGAAAAACAGAGACCTACAGAGGTAAAGTGATTGACCAAGATCACAGCTAGTTGGTGGTAGGAACTGGATTAAAACAGATTTATAAAAGTGTGGACCAAGGAATACTGGTATCATTGATAGTCTTTGATGTCTATACCTGGATTAGACCTATAATTTTTTCTTGTCTAATTAATAACTTGTCATGTTGTGTATCTCATCCACATTAACATTTTGTGCCATTAGTTCAGTGGTGTGTCTTCTCTGCCTCATCACTGGTAGGAATATAGTGATAAGTTAACCATAGCATCATTCGCTAAAACTCAGAGGTTTGAGTTGTAAAGGAATTTTAAGAACCATTGTAATTGACCATCATCTCACAGTTTCAGTGAGTCCTAGATGATGCTGTAATTGATTAAATGCCAAATTATGGTTTTCAGTGCTCACTCTCTGCCCACTTCTTGATTGTTACCTTGAATTCATTGGGTTCCCTTTCCATTCCCTCAATGTATATTCTTACTTCCAGAGGCTGTGTCATTGGACCTACCTTCCATTTTAATGTTCCTGCTCTGCATTTTGGTGATGTTTCCTTTGGTGAGTACTTTTCCATTTTAAATTAGATATTGAGAAAAATTCCTTTTCCCTCTATGGGAGGGAGAAGGTTTACAAAGAATTTCTCTTGCCATTTTGTGTGGGCAATAGCTAAGAGGTTCTAGAATTGTTCTTCTGCTCCAGCACTTTGTTGCCATTTCCTAGTTTTAGGTGAACATTTTAGCCTTGTGCTGGACACTAGTAGTTGTTAGGCTGTGGCTGTCCACCCCACTTCCTGCAATAGAACAACAGAATGCTTTGTGTTTCACTCCACTATCTGAACATTCTGAACACTCTTTTTTTCTGCAGATTTTGACTTCCCACTTTGGCTACACAGCCTGTCAACAGAGATTCTCTCAAATTTAAAGTGAACTCAATGGTGGTTTAAGTCAGGTGTTTTATCACTTCAAATTAAAGACTCTTCTTTATTGTTGTATAGACTTTTTACTCACTTGCTTCACTGAGTCATTGCCTCCCATCTGAACTTCCCCAATAATAGAAATGATAACAACAGTGGAAGGAAATTTACTTATTAATTGGTTCTTTCTTGCAGTCCAATTGCTGCTAAGTAATAATATGAAATATGACATTTAAACACATTAGCAATCCTAGGGTGAGACACTCTTTAAGGTTTACATTTTATAGATAGAAGACCTGAGCACTGAAACAGTTAAATAACTCCCAAAGGTCACACAGCTGTAGCAGAATTAGTATTTCAATTGAGATCTATCTAAATCATATTTTGTCAACTTGGGTGTTGACAGTTGCCCCTAGAGAAGCAAAAATTGATTCCTAGGGGTTGAGAAAACTTAGATATAACAATGGTTTGTGTCCAAAGGTCCACCCTACCCAACAGTCTTTTTCCTTGGTATTTATTTCTCTTGTTAGAGAGAATTGAGTCTAATTTAAGTCATATTTAATTAACTGATTTGATGATATAAAATTAGTTTATCACAATGGTTCTTTTTAGGAGGTGATAATTTTTTTAAAATTGAGAAACCCTAGTTTGAATCTTTATTCCTTAATTATTTCCATTTTGCTCTATTGTTTTCCATTTTGACTTTTATTTCTTTTGCTTCATTTCAAGTTGGCCCATCAAACTTGGGGAAAAATAGTTCTTAAGAAAAATCATAATGCCTTTATAAATTGCTTTAACATGTGGATGTTGTAAAAGTCTTTTAAAATTCAGAGCACATGTATTTATACAATGCCCCCATCCTGACCTATGTTTTATTGGGTAAGGCACATACCATAAGAAAGTTTATATAAATGAAGTTGAATGTCTCTTCATGTAGAATGTGAAAATGGCTAGAGAGATGTTTACAGATCTATAGGGCATATTTGAATGATAGACTCCTTTGAAGGAAAATAAAAGTGACCTGCAACTTGAAGGGTAACTGTGAAGGGTAACTGTGACAGATGCACAATAAGAGGCAATACAGAAGCCAGACTCTTGTGATATGAGAGGTTAGAAGACGGTACAGAGCCATGACCCAAGACTACCCAATTCTGAGATCTGAGAACTTACTCTCCTGAGTCCACCTTCAGAACCCAAATTGCCTTTTCTTTGAGTTTGGAGACGGATTCCTTAGTCTTCTCTCTGTTGTGACAAGAAAGGTTAACAATAGCATACCCTTTTTTCTTGCCAACAGGAGTCTAAGGTTGTTTGATTTTCATAACACTTGGGTCAGTGAATTCAAGCTACTTTTCTGTGCTTCTGGATTCTGCACTGTAATGACCAAAGTTAGGAACAGTTTTGTAACAATCTTTCAAAATTATCTTGTGATAATATTTCAAATTCCAAAATTGGAACTAGAGTCTTCATAACTCCAATAACAGGTATCCTGTATTTCTCCAGGTAGATGGGCCTCCTACCACAAAGAAACATGGTTCATTGAAGAATTATTTATTTGAAGTTCTGTAATTATTACCCCACCTATGCAGGTAGGGCTTTGATGAGAGAGATAAAATAAAGCATGTTACTGGCTCAGGGACAAAAGACTAATAGAGGTATACATTGGTAGTTCCAGATGCAAGAGAGAAAAGAACTGTTACAGAAGACAGTCATACATTGGAGGACTTCTTAAATTATTTCAGGATGACAGATATATTGTATGGAGTTACGCAAGGTCTGCAGGGACTATAGTAGGGCTGGGTAGTACATTAGGGTAACTGAAGTTGATAATATCATCCCCTTATGGGCACTAAGGCCCATTCTTGAAGAGGCATCGGTTAAGGGCTAGTGGTAGAGACGTGACATTTACTTGATTACAGATAAAGATCTAGATTTAGCATCACAGGGTCTGCTGGTTTTGATGATATTAGGATATTGTAATTATCATAAAGTAGGTAAGAGGTAATAGTACTATTGGTTGGTATCTAAAATATTTAAAGTATGGCTATAGCAAGCACAGATAAGAAAGCCTTCCTCAGTGATCAGTGCAAAGAAACAGAGGAAAAAAGCAGAATGGGAAAGACTAGAGATCTCTTCAAGGAAGTTAAAGATACCAAGGGAACATTTCAAGCAAAGATGGGCTCAATAAAGGACAGGAATGGTATGGACCTAACAGAAGCAAAAGATATTAAGAAGAGGTGGCAAGAATACACAGAAGAACTGTACAAAAAAGATCTTCATGACCCAGATAATCACGATGGTGTGATCACTCACCTAGAGCCAGACATCCTNCATGTGAAATGCCAGGCTGGATGAAGCACAAGCTGGAATCAAGATTGCCGGGAGAAATATCAGTAACCTCAGATATGCAGGTGACATCACCCTTATGGCAGAAAGTGAAGAAGAACAAAAGAGCTCTTGATGAAAGTGAAAGAGGAGAGTGAAAACGTTGGCTTAAAGCTCAACATTCAGAAAACTAAGATCATGGCATCCAGTCGCAAAGAGTCAGACACAACTGAGCAACTGAACTGAACTGCTGGAGATTGTGATTGTTGGATTGGATGTTGGATGTCATATCTAATAATTAATTAGTTTGACTAAAGCTACAGGATTGAGAGAGTTAAACTGTAGAATTTGGGTCGTGATTGTCCATAAAGGAACACTGGGACGTTGATAACTCCTCAGATTGATCAAGGAATGAAATGAACCAAATCATCAGTGGTATACCAGGTGATAGATCAAATGCGGCAGGATAAGTATCTGCAGTCACTATTTTTCAGGAGGTACAAGAACTTGCTGAATGAGAATAAGGAAATTGGAAGGCTCTGGTTTCTCAGTGGACTTGACCATTAGATAATTTAGACAGAGAAGTTAGGGTTTGAGGGCAAAGTTNTCCAGGAGGTACAAGAACTTGCTGAATGAGAATAAGGAAATTGGAAGGCTCTGGTTTCTCAGTGGACTTGACCATTAGATAATTTAGACAGAGAAGTTAGGGTTTGAGGGCAAAGTTGTTGGGATAAATAAATATAAGCATCAAAAAATACACATGGCCCAGTATTAACTATCAGTATTTTACTCAAGGAGAAGTATTTAAGTTAACTTTAGGAAGGTGTAAAGTAGAGAGTTATGGGCAGAGCTTAACTGTCATGATCATAGGAAGTTCTTAGAAAGGTTGGCAGAAGAGATTATGGTAGGCATAAGCAAAGCCTAGATTTGAGTAAGGGATCATTAGCAGTAACGGAGAAGGCAATGGTACCCCACCCCAGTGTTCTTGCCTGGAGAATCCCAGGGACGGGGGAGCCTGGACGGCTGCCATCTATGGGGTCACACAGAGTCGGACACGACTGAAGCGACTTAGCAGCCGCAGAAGCTAAGGGAAACACAACAGCGTATATCAGAAGGGTTAGAATTAATATGACCTTAAGGTAGAGATAGAGAATAATATGGCAGAATGATAAGAACGAAAGTGTACAGGGTAAAGTGTGAAACTCAGTAATACCAGGTATGTTGCAAAATCTTGTTCTGTCACTCATGAGCAGAATCTTTCAACTTCATGTAGAGTCTGCTGTTTCTGAGGATCTTAGAATAGCAGTCTACTGCTGAGGTCACTGATTTCTGAAAGTTTATTTTAGCAAATTTCCATTTAAGATCTCCAGCTAGGGACTTCCCTGGTGGTCCAACACTTAAGAATCCACCTTGCAATGCAGAGGATGGAGGTTTGATCCCTGGTTTGGGAACTAAAGTTCCATGTGCTGCAGAGTGTGGCCAAGATATTAAAAAAAAAAAAGAAAAGAAAAACTAAAGAATCTCTAGTAAGAGTAGTTTTCTACACGTCTTCAGCCAGTAATTCAGTTTCTTTGGGCATCTTTTTATCCAAAGGCTCACCTCTCAGTTAGCTGCAGGGTCAGTTGTTAGAAGGCCGTAAAGACTACTGGTTTATTTTTTCATTTTTGAAGCTGAAAAAAGGGAAAATTTCTGAGGGTGAGTTTTTGGAAGTCTTCTTGAACTTATAGGTGAGTTGGTTCTAGACAATGTTTAGTTACATCTCTATTAAGGAAGCTTGATTCAGATTGATAAAGAGACTTGTAATCCCATGGCTCTTCTAGTTTTTATTTCCTAAGGTGAATAGCCTTTGAGTTTCCAGAGGGAGCTAACCTGATATGATAGACATTAGAACTAAAAGTAAAACTCTTCACTAAAGAAATCTAGGAGGCTTAGGAGCTTGGCCAGTTTAAGATCAGTAGTAAAATTTTTATTCTCTACATTTTCTAAAGATTGTGGATTGTGACATTTTTTAATCAAATGGTTAATACACTGTAGGATTCTTTATAACTCTTCTACATAAGGCTGGTGTTCCCCATGGGGGAAAGTTATCGAGTACAATGATTGAGTCGTATTTACAGCAGCAGCCTTTCTGTATAGGAAGGCTCAAATCTGTCTCGAGACAGACAATTACAACAACATGTTTTAACTGTATAATTTTGGCATAGCCCATTTGTATTTGAAAGGTCCTCTGAAGTATGATTTAGACCCACAACTGACTGCACATTTTTTTCTGGAATATGATAGCAGGATGTAAGACAGGAGCCAGTTACAGAGGAGAACTTTTCCTATCAACTCTTATTCAGAAATTATCTCCTTTATGATGGGACCTGTGGTATAAGATTTTTGTCAAAGACCAGCTCAGACTTTGGGGCACTTCATAGTTGGGGTATGAGAAACCATTGAAGTGAACAGAGGATCCCATTTTTAAGTAATGTTTGTTTTCTAAGTCTGAATATTTTTATCTTCAAAATGGATTGTGCAAATGTGCCTATTGATCTCCTGTATTGTGAAGTATTTCTATAGACAGCTACAAAAATACCATCTGTTTTTGCACAATGTTCTGCCAATACATTTCTCTTTGTTTTGTGGAGATTTTTATTTTACTAGAAAAATTACGAATCCATTGTCTAAAATATCCAATGAATTCCCAAAAGTCTATCACTTGTAATTTAATGTTTGGTCTTGGGTATTGCTGAATCAGTTTAACACCCTTCTTAGTTAGGATCCATTATTGGTAGAGAGATAATGTTCCAAACAATATACCACCTTTTGTCAGAATTGAAAATTTTCCTTTGTAGCCTTGTGATCTTTTGTCCCTAGTTTCCTTAAGTTTCTTTTTTGGGGCTTTCTAGGTCAGATGAAAATATACATCTTGAATGAGAATCAAACCTCCTGAGACTACAATCTTTTAAATCATTATTTAAGTACTGAGAGAGTTATGAAGGTGTCTCTTTGAGTCTTTGAGGCATTCTGGCCAAATGTGTTGTTAATTGTTTGAAGAAAAGACACATAGATGTTGATTTTTTTAAATGTATTATATGTAAAGTACTTGCATTCAGATGGACAGTAGAATAGTAATTCAGATTTGATGCAACCAGAAACCTAGGAATAACATTTGTATTAATGAATGTTTGATCTTTAATAAAGCATTCACTTGTAATTTAATGTTTGGTCTTGGGTATTGCTGAATCAGTTTAACACCCTTCTTAGTTAGGATCCATTATTGGTAGAGAGATAATGTTCCAAACAATATACCACCTTTTGTCAGAATTGAAAATTTTCCTTTGTAGCCTTGTGATCTTTTGTCCCTAGTTTCCTTAAGTTTCTTTTTTTGGGCTTTCTAGGTCAGATGAAAATATACATCTTGAATGAGACTCAAACCTCCTGAGACTACAATCTTTTAAATCATTATTTAAGTACTGAGAGAGTTATGAAGGTGTCTCTTTGAGTCTTTGAGGCATTCTGGCCAGGTGTGTTGTTAATTATTTGAAGAAAAGACACATAGATGTTGATTTTTTTAAATGTATTATATGTAAAGTACTTGCATTCAGATGGACAGTAGAATAGTAATTCAGATTTGATGCAACCAGAAACCTAGGAATAACATTTGTATTAATGAATGTTTGATCTTTAATAAAGCAATATCCTCTTTTGGGGGGCTTCTACACAAGCAATACAGGCTATTAGAAGTAGTCGTACAAGGAATTGTTCTAGCTAGAAGGTTGTAATTGACTTTATTCTCAGAAAAACTTACAGATTCAGGAACGTAGTCTGGGCAGTGGTTTGGAAAGATACATGTGAACCTTTATAGGATCCACTTCCAAATTACACCATACATTTGAAAAGTGTTTATCCCGTAAATGATAAGGTAAAATAAGGAAGAATCTGTAGTTTTAAGAGTCATTTTGAAAAATTTCAGAGAAGTCAGATGAAGCAATTATATAATTGTGAAAATGACTTTCTAGCAATACCTCTGGAATTTCCAAGAATAAGCTTTCAAGTGCCCTTAATCACACAATTCTTCCATAAAATGTCTCTTCCAAGGAGGTGTGAAATTATGAGGGAGACGTGGATGTGTTTCCTTCAACAGTCCTAATGTGTAGACAAAGGCTACAGATGGGGAGAAGTAGATCAGTTCAAAATATCCCCAGCAGTGCTGCAGCAATTACTCCAGGAGACCAGTTGTATTTTATCACAGTAGGTTTCAACATAGAAAGAGAAGTGTTTACATCCAGTAGAAATATGCATGTTTATTCTCTTATGGTTTTAGATCATTCTTGTTCTGAAAATGGTAGCAGATACAGTGACCACCTAGGGAATCCAAAATCAGAGTTTGGTTTATTGCTTGCCAGGCAAGAAGGAGCCACATCTCTTAGGAAAGGAACACGAATCTCCCTGAACTGAATGTAGGAGGGCTAGAAATAACATTAAATAACATTAAAAAGCAGTTTTGTCTCAGGGAGGTGAAAGCTTTGGCCAGCTAGTCTTTGGCCAGCTCAAAAGCAGGTCGTAAAGTCTCTCTCAGGAGAGCCTATTATTCGATTTTGTGTCATCTACTCTAAGAGCAAGAGCCTCAGACAAGTCTAGGATGAATTATATAATGTGTTGGCAGGCTCTGGGTCACACAGCAAGCAAAACTGCGTGGGCTTTTCCTTTCACACACCAGCAAATAAAAAGAGCAAATATCCTCCTATTCTTTGGGGAAAATTGTATTTCTATGTAAAAATCAAATGCAAAATGTGCTTCTAGAAGATTACTCAACAAACTGATTATAGAGACCGCCTCTGGAGAGGGGTCTGGATAATGACAGAGTGGTTTGTTTCATGTCTATTGTCGTTACATAGTAAGTGCATAGCAAGTACTCATTGAATGAATGAGTGAAATGTATTTATTTCCTGGTTGTGCAACTGAAAACAGTACCAGGGAGAGTTGGAAATAAATAGCAGTGATGAACTGCATGTCTAATTCATTTAAGAGGTTTGGCACTGAGAGGAGAGGTTGAAGTTAAAGGGAAGATCTCATAGGGCATCTTTTCTCACCTTATATTTTGTTTTCCAGGGTTTCCTCATACCTTGATATGTTCCCTCAATAATACCTCCTTGGTCCCCATGACCTTCAAACTGCGTGTCCCTGGGGATGGCGTTGGCCAGCAAAGCATTTCAAGTTCTGAGCAGTATTCAGACAACAAAAAACAATTTTGGAACAAGGATGAATTACCTGTAATAAGACCAAAAGAATTCACCATAACCCCCAGCTGCGGCACCATTCGCTCCCAAGGATTTGCTGCTATCAGGGTAAAGTGCTCAGCCTTCCAGCATATGTAGCCATACAGCTGAACTGTCAAATAGTTACTGAGACCACATCTAGCATTTGCTTTATATGCCCAGTGTCAATGAGAGGGAGTGCCTCTAATTCACATGGAAAAGTGGGTATATTTCTACGAGGAAGTAAACTACTGTGGCAGAAGAAACAAATATATTGGGCCAAAGAACTGACACTGCTTCAGTAGGTTTCCATCAGTCTAAATGCATTGCCTTTATCAGAACAGTGGATTCTAGCAATTTCTGCTGAAATCACTGCTCTGTGCCTAATAGTGCACTCATCAATACTAATATAAAAATATTTAAGAGCTCATTGACAATCAGGTCCTCCTTTAGACTCAAATCATTTATACTAGTAAGTATCCAGGTTTATGCCCCAAATGATATCCAGTTTATTCAAATTTTTAACCTGAATCTGAGCTTCCTGGTGAATGTGGATGTGATGTTTCCAGCAGTGCTTTAAGGTCCACAGTGTGATGCTTGGCTTATGGCCTCGTAGTGCCAACAGCAGAATTGTTCCAGTGCTAACTGAGAAAGGTTTTTGCTGTCTCCCATCACTTATTTTTTGCTTCTCCAAGCAGTTAGGTCTAGCAACACAGAAGGCTGCTAAATTTAAATGATTTTTATCTTTTCTGGAAAAGAAAAAAAAAATGACTTCACAACTAAGGTGATAATTTTCTCTTTAGTCATTACCTTTCAATATTTAATTCAGCTTTGAGTTTTACCCCCCAAATTTGCTTTAAATGCTTCATAATATCCCACCATGAATTTATTCATCCTAAATCTATTCTAGGAGATTTCAGCTTTTCTAAGGTCTTCTTAAGGGATACAGTGAGGTTTGTTATTGCATGTTGTTGTAACTTCCCATTTGGGCTCCTGTTACAAAAGACCAGAGACTGGGTGGCTTGTAAACATCAGAAATTTATTCTTACAATCTGGAGGCTGGAAGTCTGAGGTCAGAGTACCAGCATGGTAGGGTTCTGGTGAAGGCCATTTTTCAGATTTCAAACTGCTGATGTCTCCTTGTATCCTCACCTGGTGAAGGGACGAGGGAGCTCTCTGGGGCCTCTTAGAGGGGCACTCATCCTGCTCAAGAGGCTACACCCTCATGACCTCATAACCTCCCAAAGGCCCTACCTCCTAATAATCAGCACATTGAGTGTTAGGATTTCAGCGTATACATTTGGGGTGGGAGGTAGGGACATCAGCATTCAGATCAGAGCAGTTGCTAATTGTGACTTGCCCAAGGAGAGGTGCAGCTGCAATGAATGAATTTATTTTTTACAGAGTAATGCTTAGCTTACATATTACCTACCATTCCCCCCTTTTGTGGATCTTCTCCTGTGTAGTTCAGGAAGATTCTCGAAGACAGCATCTATCCAGCAGGTTTGTGCCAGAACCACTTCCTCTAACCAGAGCTCAGAGACATTAGTCAGGGTTAGAGCCACTCCAGGAATCTGGAGCTGTAGTGGCTGCTTCTCTCCAAAGCTGCCAAGTTTTCCTTCTAAATCAGCGACTCCCTCTTTGCTTTATTTTGCCTTTGTATTTCAGAAAGTTTTCTCCAAGCCTCAGTTTTCCCTCCTGATCTGCACTTTAACCACGTCTATCTGGATTCAAATTTGCATCCAACAAATCCCTTTCCAACCAAAAAAATTTTAATTAGTACTTGATGCATAATTTATAGATAGAAGAGCCATAACCTATGCCAGAAGCTGTTTTCTACACTTAACAAGTATCTCTTCCAATACAAATCATTTAAAGCAATTAAAAATTGTGACAAGGCTTCAAAAACCTAACTGTCAAGTTTCACAACAATAAATACAAACATAGGGTAAAATATATTGGTCAGATACTGCCCTTGGATTAACCTTTCTTCAGAGTTTCCTGTTTTCTGCTCTAATAATGAATATGGGAGGTGGGGAGGAATGACAAGATTTTGGTTAAAAAAAAAGATTAGTTTATTTCTCACACTATTTCTATCACTGACTTGGTTATATTCATTTATTTTGCCTTAAGTGAAATCTAGCTGTAGTGTTTTGTTGGTGTACTGAATTTTCAGAATTTATATAGCCCAGAGGCATAGGGAACACTTTAAATTGCAGTAATTAAAGTTTGTTTGATGTTGATGTTCTTCAGGGCCTGGTTTCCCCTCATGCCAGATACTACCTTTGATACTCCTTTGATACTACCCCCTCAGAATTCAGCAGACCTATTATACCAAAAGCCATTTGTTAGAATCTAACCTGGCCTTTGAAACAACTCAGCATGCCCTGACCCTGAAATGGAACCTGTTTAACTAAAAATGTTAAATGCCATACATCCTCTAATAAAGTACTTAGAAACCATACTCATCCATGTGGTCCTCTCCTGGCCCCCTTCTCCCCTGTGCAGGGGGAGAGCTGGCCTTTTAGAAGAGCAGTTTTTTACCTTTTTCTTTCTAGGTGACGTTATGCTCCAACACTGTGCAGAAATATGAGCTGGCCCTGGTGGTAGATGTGGAGGGCATCGGGGAGGAAGTGCTGGCACTCCTAATCACAGCAAGGTACCGCGCTCACCTGCTTTCTCTTTCCCAGTCTCCCCCAAGCCACCAGTAATGGGCTGGCTCTCGGGAACGAAGGCAGCACAGGAACAACCAACCAGTTTACTGCCTTTCCTGAGAAAGAAGAAGCATCTGATATTGGAGTGATACAGTTTTATATGAGAAAACGCACTTTTGGTGGAGATATGAGGGGGGATGTGTATGTTAGGTGTTAAGTATAATAGTGCTCTTTAATGGGTCTGATTTTCCGTGTATATACTTCACAAGGTTTTATCAGGAAGAGATGAGCAGTTGCTGGTTTTTATTTTTATCTTTAAAGATAGTACTCCAGAGTTCTGCAGCAGAAAGAGTGGTGCCCATAGCCCTGCTCCAGGACATTGTCAGTAGGACTTAAAGGCAGGCTGCAAGTGGCCCCCCAAAACAAGGCCCTCACTAACATCATAAACTCCTAGAACCATCACAGCTTGTCTCTCTTTTTCAATAGAGGCAACAGTGCGTCCTGGAGTCAGGGTAAGATCTGGGCTCTGACATTCGTTGACTGTGTCTCCTTCACTAAGTTTACAGCCTTTCTAAGCGAGGTGTGTCACCTAATGATGCTGCCCATGGTCCTAAATAAAATCACAGGCTGTGCTCTTGCCAAAGTAAACAAGTGTCCAGATCTGGGACCTGATCGTGTGCATGAAAATGCCACCTGAAGGAAACAGGCAGTATTCTAGCACCTAGAATATAGGACCCTCATGAATCTTAGGGAGATGCACCTTAAAGAAGGTATGCTGGTTGGTGGGGTCTCATAACCAGCACCGTTTCCTCTGTCTTGGGCTTGAGTGAGCTCAGGGGGCAGCCCTAAAATAACTTGAAGGTCAAGTTCTGGCCACAATCTGCTTAGTATTCCCTCCAGAGACCTCACTAATCATTTGTTTAAGAACAGTGGAAAAACCCTTTTGTTTGGTCTTCTCTATCCCAAAGTTTGACCTTTTGTCTAGTCTTGCATTTCTTTTCTATTTTTCTTTTATTCTGATAGTTTCCAATGCCTTTTCCATGCAGCTCTAAGTAGAAAATCCTGAATTTTAAAAAGGTGGGGAATGGGTTATAGGAGGCTATGAGTTTTCTAGCATGTGTACTCTGTGACCAAGTCAAGTGCTATGAGTCCTGTCAGCCCCAGTGTTTCAGGTGGTAAAGGATAAGCTTTACCAAAATCATTGGGACAACTGACAACTCCCATTCTAACTAAAAGTGAACCCTCATCTTCCGCTAAAACCCGAACTTGAGGTCAAGACTCTTGTGTCACTACTTTTGGAGCAGTCTGTAAGGACTGCTCAGAGACTCTCAATAGAGAGCTGCTTTTAGAACGTGCTCCCCAAAGTGATTCTCCCAGAGAGCCAGCAGTGTGACTGGTCGGGCAGGGACCACGGGCTCATCACCTCGAACTGAGCCATAAGGTGGTCCTGTGCCATGCCTTCATTCACACCATCTTCTGTGTTTCCCCAGGAAGAGCTGATGCCAATGTCAGTCCCTCAGATTACCTTCTTTCTACCTATGAGCAAAAACAGGGCTCTGGGAGGGAGAGCAGCTGGCTCAAGGCTGTGCTTGGTGAGGCCAGTATTTGAACCTGGCTCTGACAGATTCACACACCAGCACTCCTCACCATGGCACCATGTTGTGAAAGTGCAGCAGGGCAGGGCAGACCTGGGGACTTAACAGACACAAAATAAAACCCAGGTCACCTAATAATAGGCCAGTCTGCACACACAGGCCTCCATCCCTCCCTCCTGTCCCCCACAACACCCCCTTCACACTGAGCACCACTGTCACAGTGCCAGTTCTGGGTCGAGCAGCTGCCTGAGCCCACTGATCCAAGGCAGCTGTTCCTCATGGAAATTAGAATTAGTACCATTATTTAGATGGTGCGAGCTGTTGCTGGTCCTCAGGGGACTCTGGTCCAAAGTGTCACAGCGCGTCAGGACCCCATGCTGGTGGCATGGGCCCTGTTTGCCATGGAAACAGATCCACTATCCTAAGGAACTTGTGCTTTGGGGGCTTCTTGCCAGAGAAAGACCAAATATGAAAAACAATGGAAATGTTAGTCATTACCCACAGAAGACAGTGTTTAAGGCGTCCTGCTTCTAGCCCCCCCGCTTTTTTTTTAATTAAAAAGTGGTTACTAGGGGCTTAGAGAGAGGGGTGACAGGAGAGAAGATGTGAAAATGATTAATATGGTTATTAGAGGAAAACTAGTGTGTGACAGTGACAAATGTGTTTAACTTGGGACTGCGTCCTCCATATGTAAACAAGCGCTCCCTTCATCCTTTTGAATTCTTTAATGGGCTCCTTCCCTCGAGCAGGTGTATTGTACCTACCCTCCACGTGGTTAATACAGAGGTGGACTTTGGGCATTGCTTCCTGAAGTATCCATATAAGAAAACGATCCAGCTTGTCAATGATGATGACCTCCCAGGATGCTATCGGGTCCTGCCTCAGGCGAGTTACTCTATCCATTTTCAGTGTTGCTTTTTATTCAGTTGGATTCCTTCAGTGAGAAAGAGAAGTCCTTTGAAAGAGCCATATTCCTGACCACATGATCTACGTAAATTCTGATTTTTAACTGTGGGATAACCTGGGGGTGGGGTTATAAAGCCACAGCTGGATTGCCCCCTGTAGGAGTGAGCAGCTGCAGGTGGAAACAGTTGTTTTTTTGAGGGAAATTACCTTTGATGGACTTCCAAAAGACCAGTGTTGGGGCCACAGAACCAAGGCAGGTTTAGGCTGCATCAGAGAAACACAGTATTCCACAGCTAGAGGAAGGAGAGAGCCACCTGTCAGAGCAGTGCTGGAATGTTGTCTTCAGCTCTTGACAGGATGTTTTTTTAATGGAAACTTGAAAAATATAGAGTTCAGAGTAACCAGAATGTCAACCTAAGTCGTTTGGAAACCCAAGTCATCTGAGGAGCAGGCACAGCGTCTAACCTGGAACAGATGATTAACTGGAATGAAATAGCTATCTCTAGTCAAAGGACTACTGTATTAAAAAGGAAATTCAAATCATTCTGTGGGCTTCTCTGAGACAAAACCAGAAGCTAAGAATGAATGGGGGTGACAGGAGACAACTTTTCTAGCTTTCAGATGTTCAACAGCAGAACAGGCTGGCCACTCACAGCGCTTGGTCACCTTAAGAACTCAAAACAGAGTCTGAGTCACATAGAGTGATGGGGAAGCTGTTACTGCACAGCTGGGCTGGGAAAGGGTGAGGCACTAGCCTCAGGGGGACCAAAACAGTAATCAAGATAGACAGTGTTTTCATGCCACACTTGAAGAAATCAAAAGTATCACAAAAAATCCATGATAAATAAGGTATCAAAACATTTGGTAAAGATGTAATCAGACTGATTTTCCTTTGGCCTCAGGGTCCAGGAAGGCTAGGCAGATCATTGCCACAGAGGGATGTTGAGTTATGATTAGGTAAAGTTGGACCAGACCAGGTACAGAAAAACCATGGGGCACTCCAGGCAGGTGAAACTGGCACCGCTGTCCTTCCTTCCAGCAGTGGGGGCTCTGAAAAGTGTTTCCCCAAATTATTCAAACTTATTTGACTGTGGGATTTATAAAAAAAATTTTTATTGAAGGATAATTGCTTTACAGAATTTTGTTATTTCCTGTTAAACTTCAACATGAATCAGCCATAGGTATACATTTATCCCCTCCCTTTTGAACCTCCCTCCCATCTCCCTCCCCAGCCCACCCCTTTAGGTTGATACAGAGCCCCTGTTTGAGTTTCCTGAGACATTCAGCAAATTCCCGTTGGCTATCTATTTTACATATGGTAATATAAGTTTCCATGTTACTCTTTTCATACATCTCATCCTCTCATCCCCTCTCCCCAAGTCCATAAGTCTGTTCTCTATGTCCATTTCTCCATTGCTCCCCTGTAAATAAATTATTCAGAACCATTTTTCTAGATTCTGTATATGTGCATTAGAATATGGTATTTATCATTCTCTCTCTGACTCACTTCATTCTGTATAGTAGGTTCTAGGTTCATCCATCTCATCAGAACTGACTCACATGTGTTCCTTTTTGTGGCTGAATAATATTCCATTGTGTATATATACCACAACTTCTTTATCCATTCATCTGTCGATGGACATCTAGGTTGCTTTCATGTTCTAGCTATTGTAAATAGTGCTGCAGTGAACAGTGGGATACATGTGTCTTTTCCAATTTTGTTTTCCTCAGGGTGTATGCCTAGGAGTGGGATTGCTGGGTCATAAGGTGGTTTTTTCCCTAGTTTTTGAAAGAATCTCCATACCATCTTCCATAATGGCTGTATCAATTTACATTCCCACCAACAGTGCCAGGGCGTTCCCTTTTCTCCACATCCTCTCCAATATTTATTGTTTGTAGACTTTTTCTTTTTTTTTGAGTTACAAGTGCTACCTACTATATTTATTCCAGATCACAGTGATTAACTAGAAACAGTTTGTGATAAGAAGTCACGTTGCTTGGATTCAAAACTTGGATAGGCCAGTCAACACTTGTATAATATCAGACAAGTAGCTTTCTTCTCTAAGCCTCAGCTTTCTCCTGCAAGAAGCAAGCTGTTTCATAAAGCTGTTCTACAGTGCTGTCGTTTATTGCCAAGTTACCTGTGTATGTATAGGTTATTATTATCTATAAGGTGGCTGAATCCACATTCCTCAGGTGTATGTGTGTCTGTTTGCTTTCACTTAGTCCACTCATGAACATGGCCCTAAAATAAGAGCTACATGTTGCAAGAACCATCTTATGACAAGGGAATTCAGTGCCCTCAACAATTAACACTATGTCAGTAAACAACTGCTGTTCATAAAACAATTTTAACTGCTCCAACAAGGACACAGCATATTCAGTATTGATCTGCTTCTCCTCTTGAGTGGACATGACTGTATTCCATTAATANGGAGACCCGCGGCCGGAAACGCCCCCGCGAGCGACTCGCTCAGCCGCCCCTGCCCCAAGCACCGGCCGGACGCCGGGCCGCAGCGGGGCCGCCGCCGGGTGTGGACAGAGGCGCCGGCCGCCCGCGCCCATCCCCCGCCCGCGGCGGAAACGTCTCCGGTTTGAAAGATGCCGCCGCAGCCGCCCCCTGCCCGCCGAGCCACAAAGGGCCGAAGCCCCTCCAGCCGCGGCCCTCCTTCCCTAGTTCTCCACAGGTCGCCCCCGGGTCCCCCACCCGGGGCTGGCGACTCCTGCTCACCCGAGTCCCTCAGTCCTGAGGGTTGGGATCCAGTGCGGCCGGCGGCCCCGAAGACGCTGGGCCCCAGGAGCGCGGCGGCGGGGGCGTGGCCCTCCCGCGGCGGCTAGGGCCGGGGTCTCGCCTCCGCCTCCCTAAGAGGAAGGCTGGCGCCGCCGCCTCCCCTTCCTTCCGGTTTCCCCTCGCGCCCTCCCTCGGCCGCTCAGTCCTGAGCGGAAAACTGCGTCCTCTCTGGGCGCCGCCGCACGCTCCTCAGGGCCCGACCACCGCCAGACTCCTCCCCCGGGAGCCGCGCCGCCCGCCCTCGCCGCCTCGTCAGCCCCGGGGCCGCGAGACGCCCGGCTTGCCGCTCCCACCCCGCCCCTGCGGCGCGCTCTCGCGCTCTTGGCGGGCCCCTTTCGAGGCCCGGGGACGCGCGGACAGCGGGCTGTGGGCCAGCCTTCGCCAGGTTTCTTTTCCCGCCGCGCGCGCGCGCCTAACAGCACAAACGTCAGTTTCGCAGTTTCCCGGGTTCTTGGGACCACCCCCCCAACCCCTCCCGCCCTTACCCTCGCTTCCCCCGCCCTTTTCCTTTGCTAGATCCCACCGGAAAGCCAAAACAATTGGGTCCGCGCAGGCGCGTGGAGGAAGCGGAAAGAGCAGGAAGGGCGGGGAAGGCGCGAGGTGACGGGGAAACGCTTTTGAAGGGGTTTCCCTGGGAAGGTCAGCGGAGAGTCCGCGGAGGGCGCGTGCGCGGCGGAGGGGTCGCCAGCCGAAGCGGGCGGGTGTGGGGCGCCAGGGGTGCGGATGAGGGGAGGCTTCAGGCCTAACCTGGTGAAAAGAGAGTCCGGAGAAACTCAATGCTGGGAAATGCGGACAGCCAAACACCAAGTTTTATGCCGTAGACGATTTTTTCCCCCTCTCGAGATACAGAAATTTGCAGGCTGAGTCCGGGAGTGGCAACAAGGTGGACTAGACAACACCAGACCAGGGAAGAAAGGGAGACGCTGGGTGAGTGGGCCTCGTCTCCTCGGCCCCTTCTCTCCAAAACACGCTCACGTTCGGTTTTCCAGTACTCATAGAGAGAGACTTCATGTCCTGGTCTCAAGGCCGGGGGAAAACTCAGAACGGCACCTGAAAGAGCTTGCAGGTCTGGGGAGTGAACCGTTGGCTTGTGGAGGGGAAGCTCTTCAGCTAGTTTGTGCTGCAGTGCCTCGACTTCCAGTAACTTCCAAAGGAGAGCCTTCAGCTTCACAAAGCGAGGCCTTTGTAACAGCCGTAGGCTGTGGCCCACTCTGGTGTGGTTAACTTGGTACGGCTTGCTAGTAAGCAGAAAACCACAGATCTACACTCTAGTTTGATAGAAGTTATTCATAGATCACAAAACTCAGAAATGCCCACATAGACTTCACCCACCTTCATAACTTCCATTCTTGGCACAAGCCCAATCTGGAGAATGTACGTGACCAATTAAAACTAAATGCACAGATATAACTAAAGAGCTTCTTTAGGTCAGATTAAATCAAGTGAATACGCACCAAGATATGTATGTCTGGAATTACGGCAGAATCTAGAAACTAATTCAAAGCATCTTTATTGACTGTCCAGTAGGCTCTCACTCTGCTTAGTCTGATTAAATGTCTGTTTTTGATACTTAAGATTCAAATCATTTAACAGATGGTTGCGTTCCTACTCTGTGCAGGCTGGATTCTGGAGATCCAAAATCTAAACAAGAAGGAAGAAACAAAAAAAGAGTTTGTGTTTCCTCCTCTAGAAGACAGAATCATTTAAAACTTTTTTAAGACGAGTATCTTTTTATTTATTTTGGCCTCACCACGCTGGCATGTGGGATCCTAGTTCCCGACCAGGGATGGAATCCCCCCACCCCAACCCCGCATTGGAAGCAATGAGTCTTCACCACTGGACCAGAAGGGAAGTCGCAAGGAAGGAATATATTGATAAGATTTTAGAAAAATAATTCTGAAGCGTGGTGCATATTGGACTGAATCTGGGGTTACTAGTTAGGAGGCTGTAAAAATAATCCAGACAGGAGGTGGAGAGAGTCTGAACAATGTGAGGATAGTGAAACAGAGCTGAACTTAAAACTAGCTAGATATAATATGTAAGACTCAGGCACTAAGAGGATGAGGGGAAATAAGAAGTGAAGGATGACTGAGTTTTCTGGTTAGGGTGACTAGTAATATCAGTAACTATAGGAAAAGTAGCTAATTGTGAGGATAAAAGAGTACTAAAAGGTATCATTTTAATGGCTGTACAGTTAGGAATGCATATGGCTGTGAATAAAAAAATTCTGCAGTGGCTTAAAGAAGGGTCTGTTTAGTCACATAAACCTGCAGGTAGTTGGTTATCCTTGATTCAA